GCCACGCGCAGGGCGAGCCGAGGTGGCGCAGGGCAGCGGGCGGAGCGGCTGCTCTTCTCTTCCACATGCGCTACCTCAGAGGCCGGCCTTCCCCCGGCTGGGACGCCTATCTAGCAGGTACCGGGTGCACGGGACTCCCTCAGAGACGTAACACAGCCCAGCAGCCAAGGCGTCTGGGAAATGCTGGCTTGTTTAACCCTCCGTGACTGTCCGACCTCTAGCCTCAGGCTGGGCTGACTCCGCAGGAAGCGGATGCGCCCACAGAGAGGTCAGGCCAGAGACGGGCCATGGCCGGATGGGGGCAATGACTGCCTGAGGCGCCTGCTGACCTGCCGGGGGCAGCTGCCTGGCCGTGTATGTACGTTTCTCCATATGAAAGTTCTGACGCGTCTGGATGAGGCTGTGTCAGGTCTTCGGAACAGATCCTGAGTTTACACTTTTGGGGCTTCCCCCAACACCACATGGTGACAACCGCCCAGAAAGTGGGTGTGGCGCTGGCCGGGTTCTCATCAGCTGGAGGCAGAACCAGGAGGGACCCCAAAGGCCCTGCCCGCTCTCCTGTCACAAGGCTGAGACACCCACACTGTGGGGTGGGAGTGCAGGGGACTGTGACAGAGCAGTCCCGGGAGGGGCCCTGGCGATAGGAAGCAGGGCCAGCAGCACCCTGGAAAAGGGGCCCCCACACAGCCAGCTCCTGGCGCGTGCGCCACCGAGACAACCTGACAAAGGCGCACAGGAGCCCCCAAGTGCGGCTCGCCCACCACGGCACACTCCACGGGGAGCCCAGAGTGAGCGGAGCCCACGTGCTCACACTGGCGGTGGCCGTCCCCGTGGACCTTGCCGGTGGCCGGCACCAGGTACTGCAGGAGGATCTCGTCCTCTGGAGGGTGCACCCTGCGCAGCTCGGTCAGCGTCTGGTACATCATCTCAAACTGGCTGCGCTCCGTGAACAGGTCTGAGACCACGAGGAGCTGCAGACACAACGTTCGGACAGGAAGGGGAGCCGCTATCAGGAAAGGAAGCAGCGCACCCAGCACGCCTCCTCCCAGCCCAGCGACACCAGGCTCCAGGCACCCATGCGTGCCGACACGCAAACCCTGGACCTCAAGGCAGGGCACACACGCAGCGTGGTCAGGACGTCCTCACGGATGCCTGTGCGCGCGCTCGCTGCAGTGGGCGGAGCTGGAACAGCCACGACCTGCAGGGAACCTGCCCACAGCGGTCACCACGGACAAGCCCACGTCTGCTCTGCCCCCAAAGCCCCGGGCCTTCCCATGGTGTCGGGTCAGGCTCTCAAAGCCCCAGCAGAGACGCTGTTTCAGAAATAAACGCTTCGCTGGGGATTCTTTGTTTCCCCAAACGCTCGGCTGCCGAAGGCTCAGCTCTTCACGGTCCATCTAAAAGGAACGTCAGCCCGCCGGCGTGGCTCAGTGGTTGAGCATCAGCTTCTGAACCAGGAGGTCACAGCTCCATTCCCTGTCAGGGCACATGCCTGGGGCTGCAGGCAGGAGCCGACCCACGATTCTCTCATCATGGATGTGGCCATCTCTCTCTCTAAGCATGTCCTCAGGGGAGGATTAATAACAAAAACAAATGACTTCTCAGACTTGATTCCAATTCTGTAAGTACTGGCAGACATAACCCACATAACAAAGGCTCTCTGGGGTCCCCACTCATTTGAAGAACGTAAAGGAATCCTGGGACCAACAGTTTGAGAACAAAAACTCCAAAATCGTGCTTTTCGGAGGGGGCGTGTGGGCCTGTGAGCCCGGCCCCAGGGAGACACTTAAGGACAAGGAGGGGAGCCTCCAGCCTTGGACAGCGGCGTGACGTCGCCACGACATTGCCCCTGCCCTCGGAGCACCTGCCCGCCGTGGGGTGGACATGCAGAGCTGCTCCTGCACAGGCGGAGAGACGCATCTATGTCCCCGGCCTGAGAGTTCTTCTCAGGCTCCCAGAGACGACACCTGAGCGCGTGCGTGTGTGCGCGTGTACATGTACGTATACCTGTACGCGCCTGTGTGCACGAGGGACGGGCGAGGTAAACTTACAGATCGCACCACTTCGCTGATCAGGATGATGGGGGTCCTTCGGCCGGAACTGGACGGCAGGACCCAGCGGCTGTACAGCTCCAGCAGGAACTGCGAGCACGAGTGGATGTCCACCCCAGCCCGGTGCTTCCTGTGGAGCACACAGAGGTTCATGTAAGAGGCCCCAACCCCCAGGACGACTCACAAACCTCAGAGGGCTTTAACCAAAGGCGGTGGGAACCTGGAGCTGACGGGAGACGTGGGCGGCGACGAAGGTGCGGGGACATCGGCCTCCTCCTCCTCCTCCTCGTCCCACTCCTCTTCCCTCAGGGGGGTGATGCTGCTCCCCAGCCACACCGAGTGGATGGACACCTTCAACACAGGCCCTGGGTCAGCGCGAGGAGCCGGGCGCAGGTGTGGCCTGGGGTCCTGGCCACTGAGGGGCCCCACCACCCGGCAGGGCCTGCTCAGACCCAGTGGGTTCCGGGGGGCAGGGGGGTCTACAGAAAGCTCTGCCTTCAAAACGAAAGCCCTGGAGTGAGGGGAGCAGCTGAGGGCCGGGCTTTCTGCGTGACGGCCACACGCTGAGGGAGAACACAGCCGCTGCGGGGCCAAGGCTGCCACACTCAGGTGTCCCCACCGCCTCCCTGTCGTGCACACAACGGTCCCCATTCTTCTCAAGAGCCAGTGAAAGTGACCCAGCCAGCAGCACGGGGCGGCTGGGCGCTCTGCTCTCACTCGGTGGCGGCGGCCCTGGCCCTCCCTCACCTGTTATCTCACACTCTTCCACTGTTTACACACACCTACGTGATCAACTCATAAAACACCTTAGCCCTTCTCAGAATAAATACCATAAATAAAACGAATAAAAGTCACCCTTTGCTTCATTTTAAACGCATTTAACTTTGCTTCTGAAGGTGAAAGTGGCCCAAACCCGAGGACGGAGGACGGGGCGCGGGCTGACCTGGCCGAGCTGGTAGCTCATGCTGCCCAGCTCCCGCTCGGGGTTGGTCTGCAGCAGCAGCTTGTCGTGGCTGATGAGGGCACCTGCGGGCGACAGGACGTCAGAGCCGCCCGGCAGTGCCGCCGAGCCTGGCAAGGCACAGCCTGGGAAGTTCTGTCCCTTCACAGCAGGCAGCTGGCAGGGCCGAGGCAGTGCGGGCCCATCTCTCCCGGAGGCACCGGCTCTGCCACCG